GCAGAGGCGCAGCGGGCGGAGCAGGGGGGAGGAACGAATCGGCCGGCGGGGAGTGGGACTGACCCGGCCATATGTAGATCTTGGGGCGCTGCCCCCCTTCCGTCCTCCCCCCCCACAAAGCACGAGTGAGTCCGGCCCGAGGATTCTATTGCCCCCCCCGCACACACCCCTCGCCTGTTGTTGCTGATGAAAATAGCTCACTATAAAAGAACAGGCAAATTTGTTCCATTTCACATCTGTTTGTCATTTTACTACTGTTTTTGTCAACAAACGTGCTTGGAAGAGTTTGGCTTAACTGGATTTCACATTGAGTTCTTTGCAAACTCGTTTTCTCTTCAACTGCCATTTGCTTTTTCGCAAGCCGATACTGCTCATAATCATCTATCATCTTTTTTCTCAACATTTTATAGACGAACTTATACTCCAGGCTGGTATTGCCCTTGGCTGCCATGTCTCTCTGCTTGGCAAGAAGATCAAGTGTTTGCTGGGCAATATGATTCCTGGATTTCTATGGCTTCTTCACAGTGGCAGCAGTTTTACGTTTGTCCAACTTCACCAAAAAATGATAGTAATTGGAATCAATATATTTCATTCCAGCCATTTCCTATGACTCAGAGTCAACAGCATACTTAAACCGACCTGAGCAGAACTATTGTCCCCACATGCAATGTCTAACACTGATAAGGACATTAATATTTCTAGAACAAAATTTTCCAGAGAATCGTGGGGTGGGGGTTTTTGTTTTTAACAATTTGAGAGAAAAGAAAATTCTAGGATTTTTCCCTGTGGAACACAAATCCTGAGTTTTGACTAGCTCTAGTGTTAATGATTTATAGCAGACTGTTTATTTCAGATTAGAATGTAGGAAATTATTGGCAGTGTAATGGTCCACCGAGTCCAAGTACAGGGGAGAGATAATAAAATATTTGATGGTGAACAACTAGATTATGAAAATTAGGTAAGTAGGCAACCTGGACTAAGGAGAATGTAGCACTTTAAAGACTAACAAGATGGTTTATTAGATGATGAGCTTTCGTGGGCCAGACCCACTTCCTCAGATCAAATAGTGGAAGAAAGTAGTCACAACCATATATACCAAAGGATACAATTTAAAAAAATGAACAAATATGAAAAGGACAAATCACATTGCAGAACAGAAGGGGGATGCGGGGGGGTGGGAAGGGGGAGGAAGGAAGGTAAGTGTCTGTGAATTGCTGATATTAAAGGTAGGGAGAGTGGGATGTTTGTGAGTTAATGGTATTACAGGTGATAATTGGGGAAACTGTCTTGGTAATGGGTGAGAAAGTTCAAAGACTTGTTAAGTCCTTGTTGGTAAGTGTCGAATTTTAACATGAATGACAGTTCAGAGGATTCCCTTTCAAGTGCAGATGTAAAAGGTCTCAGATGAACAAGCCTTCCCCTTCCAGAGTTGAGTGAGCTCAGTTGGAGGGAAAAGGCTTGAACCAGCCTGCTTCATGCTTGCCAGGCATGAACTGTAAGACTAGCTCAACCTGCCTTGTTCCCCCTTGTTTTAAGGATAGACCTGCAGCAGACTCCATCAGGGCTATGTCTACATTTGTGGCTTCTTGTGCAAGAATCTGCAGAGTGTCTACAGTGCCTGCCTGCTTTTGTGCAAGGAAATTGACAGGACGGTGTGGTAAGAGAGGGCTCCTGTGCAAGAGCTATGCTCTTTTTTAACAGGTGTAAGCTCTCTTGCACAAGAGGGCAGTGTGGACGCTCAGCAGGGATTTCTTGCGCAAGAAAGCCCCGTGGCTAAAATGGCCATCGGAGCTTTCTTGTGCAAGAAAGCGTCCACACTGCCATGGATGCTCTTGTGAAAAAGCACATCTCCCACATGGCAGTGTGGACGTTTTCTTGCGCAAGAGTTCTTGCACAAGAACCCTTGCGCAATATTTTCTTGCACAAGAAGCCGCCAGTGTAGACATAGCCAGGAATCTTTTTGTTAGTGTAGTAGCAGCTGGAATCTTTTGCCAGCCTAGATGGTGGCTAAAGAGTTGAAATCACTAAACCTACGTCTACACGCGCAGCTTCTTGTGCAAGAAATATGCAAATGAGGCTAAGCATAGAATATTGCTGAGCCTCATTTGCATACCTAATAAGCCACCATTTTTGCAGAAGAGGCTCTTGCACCACAAGGAGCTGTCTACACCGCCCCTTCTTGTGCAAGAAAACGCCTCTTATGCAATGCCGTTATTCCTGAAAATAATCAGCGTAGCAGCGTTGCACAAGAGGGTTTTTCTTGTGCAAGAAGGGGCCGTGTAGACAGCTCCTTTTGGCGCAAGAGCCTCTTCTGCAAAAATGGTGGCTCACTGGGTATGCAAATGAGGCTCAGTGATATTCCACACTTAGCCTCATTTGCATATTTCTCGCGCAAGAAGCCGCAAGTGTAGACATAGCCTAAGAGCTGAAGTCACTGGTTTGGCCCGGAGCCAGACCCATTGCAGCCAGCAAGATTGCTGGCAGGAGCGACCGGCCGGTAGGAGTGGCGGCAGGCAGCTGGTGGGAGCAACCAGCGGGCGGTGCAAGAAGACCACAGGAGCAGCATAAAGGTGGCATAGCCTCAGGCTCAATGAGTGGAGACATCAGGGTGCTGTGTCAGGGGCCGCACCGAGGCTATGTCTACAATGGAAGGTTCTTGCGCAAGAACCCGCCCGCTGGCTGCATCTAGACCGGCATGATTTTGCGCAAAAGCAAAATCTTGCCGCCTGTTTACACTGGCCGTGAGTATTTGACTTTGTAATGTACAAAATCAGTGGTTCTTGCGCAAATACTCCGACGCTCTCGCTCAGGGATAAGCCAGTGTAGACAGGCAACATCAATTTCTAGCGCAAGAAAGCCCTATGGCTAAAATGGCCATCGGAGCTTTCTTGCGCAAGAGAGCGTCTACACGGGCACAAATGCTTTTGTGCAAAAGCACATCTCTTGCGCAAAAGCACATGCCAGTGTAGACGCTCTCTTGTGCAAATGCTTTAATGCAAAAACTCTTGCATTAAAAGTATTTGCGCAAAATCATGCCAGTGTAGACGTAGCCGCAGAGTGTCCACACAGCCCGCTCACCCTTGCGCAAGAAGATTTACAGTAAAGCGTGGGAGGAGAGGGCTTCTTGCGCAAGAGTTACACTCTTTTCTAACAAGTGTAAGCTCTCTTGCACTAGAGGGCAGTGTGGACGTGCAGCAGGGGTTTGTTGCACAAGAAAGCCCTTTGGCTAAAATGGCCATCAGTGCTTTCTTGTGCAAGAGAGCGTCCACACGGCCATAGATGCTCTTGCACCAAAGCACGTGGCCATGTGGACGTGTTCTTGCACAAGAGTTGTTGCACAAGATATTCCTGCGTAAGAACCCACCAGTGTAGACATAGCATGACTGGATAGAGCTGTAAGTGGGGCATTTGAAGTGGGGTATGGGGAAAGTCTGGGTAAATGTATGGAACCCTTACGTTGTTGGACTAGTGAGCTTGAGGGACAAAGGATGTTGCTCAATCCATTTGAGCTGGGACGGTTACTTGTGGGGGGTTAGGAACTCTGTTTGGGGTATTTTTCCGAGCTAATGCCGTGTAATTTTTCTTCATCTTCCATTAAAAGTTTCTTTTCGACACTCAGACCCTGCGCTTGTGAGGGGGGAAGCATTGCCTTTCAGAGGCGCCCAGGGGTGTATGAATTTCCCAGGCTACTGGGTGGGAGCTTGAGCCGGTTCTGTGTGAGATGGGTGAAAAGGAACCCTTAGATATTGAACCCTGCCCTGGCTGCTGCTGGCACTACCTGGCAGAAGGGTTACATTAATAAATAGAGGATCAGGATATTACTGCGTGAGGCTCTTTCAGTGGCTAAAGATCCTGCAAAACCCGCAGGAAGTTGTGCCCTGAGCCCTAGGAATTGGGCGAGGGTGGGTGTGTAAATTGACAGGGTTGCACCTTGAGCCCTAGGAACTGGGTAAAGGTGTGTGTCCCTGCAGTGTGGAAGGGAGAGAGAAATTTGTGCGGGTAACAACCCCACGGCATGGGCGGGTTGGTTTACCGACCTCGGTCGGGGCTGTGAGAACGTCACGTCCTGGGCGGTGTAGTTAAGCCGACCTCAGTGCCAGTGCCGACCCCCACCCCCGCCTTGGAGGAATTCTTCTCTGGACCTGGCTACGGCCTCTCAGAGAGGGAGCGGAAGAGCCCTCCCGGGGTGGCGCCGGAGCTGTGGGGCTGTAGCCCTCCCAGAGCAGAGGCAGTCTCCCGCGGAGTCAGCACCTGGCCTCTCACAGGGGACAGGCCCATAGAGCAGAAGCCCCAGACAGGCCCCCCAGACACCCTCCTCGTGGCGGCTCAGTGGGCTGCTGAGCCTGGAGGGTGGCCAGTTAGCGTTAGAGTCGGGGGGAGCCGGCAAGGGCAGTGGGGCTCTGCCCCAGCAGGCAGGCAGTACAGACAGGCCTGGCATCAGCCACCCCGCCGGATGTCTGGTACAGAGGCGGGCTCCACCCTGTTGCTACAGAGCATCTGAGGCTGCTCGTGGCGCGGGGGGTGTACGACTGGTGCCCCTTCAGCTCTGGTGAAAGACCCCTCCTCGGGGCCTAGCCCCACAGGCCAAGGAGGCAGCTGGCCCCCAGGAGAAAAAGGGGGTGCTGCCCGGGGTCGGTCATTTGGGCCGAGCCCCCAAGGCAACCCCCAGCGGCTCATGAGCAGGGCAAGGTCCTTGGGAGCGGAGCTTCTCCCCAGAGCCGTCAGACAAAGCGACCTCAGACGCCTCCTCGTATCCTGAGCTGTGACCTGGCTTCTAGACTCCAAGCCCCTCTTTTGCCCCAGCGCCATGTGACAAGGGACCCCTCCGTGGGGCAGCCAGGCTGTGTCAGGAGAGAGCCGACCCTGGGTGGGAAAACCCCCCCAGCCTCCATCCTGCTTGTCCACGTTGTGGATGATGGCCTGTTTGCAGAAGGAGAGCTCGTCTTCCCGCTGGGCTTTGTAATCGTAGAGGGCCTTCACCGTGCACTGGGGAGCAGAGCAGAGACATGCTCGCCTGAGCAGCTGCGAGGCCGGCATTCCGGGGTCCCCCCTCCGCTCGTGGCTCAGAGCTGCGGGGTACCCTGCTGCCCACAGCGCTTGTCCACGTTGTGGATGATGGCCTGTTTGCAGAAGGAGAGCTCGTCTTCCCGCTGGGCTTTGTAATCGTAGAGGGCCTTCACCGTGCACTGGGGAGCAGAGCAGAGACATGCTCGCCTGAGCAGCTGCGAGGCCGGCATTCCGGGGTCCCCCCTCCGCTCGTGGCTCAGAGCTGCGGGGTACCCTGCTGCCCACAGCAGCTCGGAGCTGGGGGGGCCCAATCCTCGGGCAGTGGGGGGAC